GCCTAGCCACCACCTAGCCGCCTAGCCGCCCGCCTAGGCCTACTTTTAAGACACTGCGATTGACTGAAAGTTTGAAACCCGAAATTGAAAAAATTTAGCTGCAAATTTGAGCTTGAGATTGGGAAGCCGAAGCAGTGAAGCACAAGTCAGATCCATAGAAGAACATATCATGAGACTCTTAATTCATCTAATTCCATTCCTCTCCCAGTTTCCCGCCTTATATTCTTCTCTCTTCGCACTGACGACATGGCGCAGAAGAAAAAAATACAAAATTTGCTGAGTTGGTGTCTGTCTTCAGTGGAAGGAAATGATGAAGTTGTCCTATCATGGAGTTTCTGTGGTCTTGCCAATAACAAGGTTCTGTGAATGGCATGCGTATGCGTTAGGCTACTTGAATTCAAATTCATTCTGAAGTTTAAACATTTCTGTGAATGGCATGCGTTTAGCTTCTCTTGTTATGCTTATTCTTTAACATGCAAATGGCATTTATGATTGTACTCACTGCCTGTGTTTTAGGTGGAGAATGTTAGTACAACAGGCTGGAGAAGTACTTGGCCAGAGTGCTCGAAGTGCAATGGATGTTGAAGTTCTTTGCATGGATCATTTAAGAAAAAGTAGTAATACTAGAGACTCCTCTTCTGAAGCTGCAACTCTATGTAAACCAGGAAAAACCCATGCATTGATAAGAGATGAAGCTCAAGTTTTATCAAGTGCTGATCTTAAAGCAACAGAAACCCCTCATTTAGGCAGATCACCTCCTTATTTGGACTTGTCTGTTATCCCTACTGGTAGGACTTCATTAATTTCTAGGAATGCATTTGAACCAGTAACATTATCAATTCACATTGTGTTCTTACAATACTTTATCTAAAAGAATTCTTACTAGCAGATTCATTTGGCACTGTGGAATGCAATGTTGACTTAAACTTGACTTCTCATAAGCAACCTGACCTGGTTGCGCCAAAAACTATGTGGGACTCCTTGGATTCTACCAGCAGAAATAATGCCACTGTGTTGCATGAACTGTCTCCTCCAGAAATGTCAGCTGCGAGAAGTGAAAGAGTAGAAACTCATGCTTCACGGTTACACAAGATGCATTTGAATTTTTAGAAGTTGTTGACAGCTGCAAAGATGATGATAAAGTTAGTCCTCTATTTTCCAAGGAAATTACACCAAAAAACCAGTGTCTGCAGGTGAGATTTGTAAGTCTTATTGTTTGAAGTTTTGGGGATGATTTGGCTGTCAACTAATCTTATTTTACTTTTCATGTTTGGAATTGATTCTAGCTATTTTCAGAAGAAAAAACCAGTGACATTTTTCAGCCAGTGACAACACAGCCCGTGGCGGCGGCTTCTATAGCTTCAGAAGAAAGAAGAAATTCTTCAGTTGGGAGGCAAAAATAATCAACCAGAACAAGAATCTCCTCTGTGGGTTGGTGAGTTTGTTTATAAATACAACTTCACTGCTCTGCTGCTTCTTCTCTGAAGCCAAACATTTGATAATCTTATTCCAATTTTCCAAAACAGTTGCAGGAGAGATGAGAAGCACAACAACAGAAGAATGGTTGCTTCCCTTGCTGCGTGGATTCAGATTCCATCCCCCTGAGGAGGAAATGGTGAACCTTTTCAGGAAGAAGATGGAGGGCTAGGGCTCCCAAGCCATGCCTGAAATCGATTACAAGCCTTGGAATTTACCTGATAATGAATCTATCTCACTTATTCTTCGCTTCTTGAAGCAGATGATGCAGGGTAAGGCCTCCCAAGCCTGCCACATCATCCCTGAAATTGATGTCTGCAAGTACGAGCCTTCGGATTTAGCTGGTAATCCATTAATCTATCTCACTTTTGCTTCACTACCCATTTTCTCATTTCCAAGATATGATTTTTATGCATGCATAATCTTGATCAATTGTTCTTTTGAAGTGTTGAACTGTTGTTATGTACTTGGGACTTACCTGACATAATCCATTTATCTATCTCACTTTTTCTTGACTACCCATTTTCTCATTTCCAATTTAAAATTTCTATGTATACATAATTTTGTTCAGTAATTTAGTTGAATTCTGTTATTCATTACTTCAAGACTTGAATTGGGTTTGTTTCAATATCTTGTTTTGTGTTGCGTTTTGCAGAGCTCTTGTTCCCAGACTCTCCATATCAACCTAGGATGTGGTTTTCCTTCAGCCGACCTCATTACAAATCCATCAACAGTCTTCGTTACAACAGGGCCGCAAAGAAGGGAAAATCACAGGCAAGCCACAAAGTAGTGATACTAAAGAAATAATAATTAAATAAGTCTAAGATATTATTTAATTACTAAAATGAAAATTTATTGGACCTAAAAGATACTATATTTATATTTAATTTTAAATAAAATCTCTCCCGACAAAATTTCGTCGGCACAGGTATAAGACTTGCCCCGACGAAATTACCTCTACCGACGAAATGTCGTCACAAGAACTCTAATCCGATGAATTTTCGCCGGGATAGACCTTTGCCGACGCAATTTCGTCGGGAGAGGTTTTCTTGCCTCTTTTTTTTTTTTGAAAATTAATTATTATTGTTTATTTTAAACATGTAAAATTAGTTTCTTTAATTCTATTTTTTGGCCAACTTCTTTAGTTTAATATATGTAATTAAGTAATACCATAGCCTTTTTTTAATTACTTTAATTGGTAATTATGTTTAATTATTATTTCTTCAGTGAATATTTAAATATTTTGCCCATTTCATAAATTACTTAATGAATAGTAATTAATTATGGACTTTGTTTTCCCAAAATTAGTTTGGGTAAATCCAAGTCTCGAACCAAAAACCCTAGCTTCCGAAATTTTTCCCAAACCTTTCTTAAGTCTCGAACCCTAACCATAAGCCTACTAAGGAGTATATAATTTCTCTTCTTTTCCAATGTGAGACTCAAGTTCATGTATTTCAATCAAACTCCAACAAGCAGTTGATATTATCGAATCACATTGTGACTTGGATTTAAGTTTCAAGGCTAAAATCCATTTTTGGAATACTAAAATATTTTGGGTACTAAAACTAAATTTCTAGGATT